CCCCACGGTCAGCAACTTCCTCGCGTAATTTGTCTGTGGCTTTAGATGTATTTTGGGGACATGACACGCGCCACCGATGACAAACGAGCCTCCCTGAAAACTTGACCTCTAATGTTACAATGATTATAAACGTATTTGTTTGGGCCTGCATCTGAATACTTTATTATCGAATCAATATCCACGTCAGGAGCTTAGTTCGCGTGAAGCTTCCACCAATTTGCATTTCCGGGGTGATAATCGTTGCCTTCCTGATTCACGTTCCTCATATTTTCTTTTCGAAAGGAGAATTTATTAGATAATTATGCAAAATTCGAGACTCTATTTCAGCATCTTCCGTTACAGAAGCATGTGTATTTAAATAAGGAGGAGTGCGAATATGTTATTCAGTTTTGCAATATATGTAAAGGGTATTGGATAATTGATGTATGAGTAGTGGATGCTTCATCGGCATTGGTATTAAACGGAGTCTAGGTGAGTTGTTCATAAAGCAATTAAACTTTCCGAACTCGGTCTGTCGTCTTTAAACGGGAGGCAATTTTAGCTGTTGAAAATATATTATTCAATAACGTTTAACATTTCCGATGAAAGAAGGATCGAAGCTAATTTCAAGTTACGGAGCGAGCTGGCATTTAAAATTCATTTTAGCGAATTTGTTGAAAGAGATCCGATCCAACATATATCGACTTGTATTATATACTAGCCGCAGAGCAGCCAGCCTTCGTCTGGCTTTTAAATGTACCGGGAAAATGCCTAAATGGAACAAGAAACATTCAATTTAAAAACTGCAAAGAATTTTACTCTGCAATAGAACTTTATAAATAATAATAATAATAATAATAAAATAAATTTAAAAAAAATCTGAAAGGTTTCAGATTTTAAATTACGTCCAAAGGGACGTTTCTCAACGTTTCGTTACTTTTATTTATTGAATATCACGTTCTACGTACTCAAACTATAAAATTCAGTTCAACAACAATATCGCACATTAATTTTAAAATGATCATACTGTTACGAAATGTCCAGGCGCGGTGAGATAAGCTTCTCCGCAAAGCAGTTTTAAGGTTGCCATAAAATGGCGAGGGAAAGCAGGGTTGCCACATTTGGTGAGAAATCTTCCATTTGGCGACGTTTGGTCACAAAATTGACGATATGCTGTGGTCGGATGGAGAACCTTCTGGAACGAATTCTTACTGGCTTAGCCCAGAATGTTCTCGAACACAAGCCGACAGCTATATAAACCTTGCTGGTCCGCACTCAGTGAGTGACTCGTCGAGTTCGAGATAGTTAGTCTCGAGTTACTCAGTCTGCGCGGAGTCGATCGAGTTGACAGCCGGGCAGCGAGTGCCGAGGGGGTCGTCGAGTGCATCGAAGAGCCTGTTAGTGTATCGCGGCTAGTGCATCGTGTGTGTTAAGCTTCGGGAACGACTGAACCGAACAGTCGGGAGCTGCGCTCTGTGTGTCGTCGAGTGCATAGCGAGTTGTAGCGTGGAGAGTCTCGAGAGTACGTGGAGTTCCGAGAACGACCGAGCAGAACCGGGAACTCCACTCTGGCGCTTTGAAGTGAAGCTGTCTCGACCATTATAGCCTGATAGTGTCGCTGAGTTTCAGCGTGTATATAGTAGATCTTCGACGACTGTAAGAAGGAGCTGTCCTGATTAATACTGGCTAAATCGCGACAAAATTGGTACAGTGTGTTTCAATACTTCATCAAATGTCGTCGTTATTCACTCCATTAATCCATTAATTCCATATTCCATTCACTCCATTAATTTCATATTTAACGAAATCCATAACATTTTGAGAAATTAAGTATCTACCTCATCTTTAACACAGAAATCATACGACAAAATTGTATCTCATATACTTACTGCTACGCATATTATTGTGGAAAACAGTATGAAATTAGCAACTGACGAAGGAATAAAAATGATTGGCTCTTCAAATTTAATCCTCAATCGAGATGGCACACGGAAAACCAGAGGACATTCTTCAAGTTAGTCCTGGTGAAATCAAGAAATAATATTGATTATTATGTTTCAAGTTCCCGTTGTAAAAGTTATGAAACAGAAAACAAATAATTTCAAATGAAAGCTATTTGAAATGGGAAATAGAACGTAACCAAGTATGCAACAAGAGTCATCCAGATTCATCTGCGCACAGAATGGTATGTTAGGCATATTTTTTCGAGGAAACGTATAGTGTTCTTTAAGTTAATTTATAAAGTATTTCTCCTGCGTTCTTAGCTTGCCTTCTTACTGTAGTGGTCAACACGTCTCGACGCGTATTCGAGAGGTCGTGGTTCGATTCTTGACATGGTATTGACGTATTCTTGACGAGGGTATTGCTCACTTTTTATCTTACCTGCTTTCAACAAATTACCTAATGTCTTTACAGTGGCGCCCGAAATAAAAGGTGGTGAATGATGATTCTTCACCACCAGGACTTGGCAACTGGATCTCCTAAACCTCAGTCTCCCTTTAAAAAGGTGGAGTATATAAGGTATTTCTCCCGCCTTCTTAGCATGCCTTCGTACTGTAGTGGTCAGCACGCTCGGCGCGTATTCAAGAGGTCTGTGGTTCAATTCCCGGTTGGCACATTGCTCATTTCTCATCTCTCCAGTTTCAAAATAACGTAATGTCTCTTCAAATTATATAGATGAAGAAAATTGCAAAACTCTTTTAGCCCTTACGAAAAGTAATCCGTATAATGTTTCAGTTGTGAGGAAATTAAAATGGGAATTATGTAAAAAGAAACTATATGATAATAAACCTCTCAGGGTTAAAGATCGACTCACAGGTGTGTTGATAGATCAATTAACAGTATATTGTGATAATCCCATCAGGAAGCGTTCTGGCAATAACCGTAATACGCAAAACGTTATGTTGTCTGTATGGTAAAACGAAAGTTAAAATCATGATGAAGTAACTCACGACTTTTGCTCAAGTGTTATTGATTATTTTGGGGAGTATAAAAGAGTTGTGGCACAAACGAAAACTTTAAACATAAAAATTCAATATGTTTAGCAGTTGCGGATGCTACAAAACTAATAATTAAAGATTTGTCTCACTCAGATTTGCTAAAAAGATGCATTAGTGGTCAAACACCAACTAGTGAATGATAAGTTAAATTTCTAAACAACAAAATGTTATAGAAACTGTAGAAGTTCGTCAAATTTAGCAAATGGAGCTGATTGCGTAGCATTTGCTCAAGAAACAAATAGAATTCGCATCGCAGAGAAACGATCCCAAGGCAATACTTTACAGGCTCAAATGAAGGAGAAAGGCTATAAACAAAATGGAAGAAAAAATGAAGCTGATAAACTTCTTAAAATAAAAAGAAGGAATAATTTATGCTTCTGCTGCATTTTAAATGGGTTTCAAAAACTACAAATTAGAGAAAAGTGGCATTGCATCTTTAAATTGGATTTTCTCAAATTGGTAATCTTCACATTTATGCGCGTTGTAATTATTAAACTGTATATGCTGTACCTATGAAAGGTTAACCTGATATGTTACTTTTGTTACTCTATAACCTAAAAGCAGAAAACTGGCATATATGCATAAATACATGTACCTGAATGTGTGTATGGCATATATGAATATGTGTACCCTCCAAAAAGTAAAAAAATTACATAGTTAAAATTTAAAAAAAAAAAAAAAAAAAAAAAAAAAAAAAAAAACTTTAACTTTTTAAACTTTGTAGGGTATTTCTCTCGCTTTCCTAACGTGCCTTTGCCCACCAGCGGCCGAGCGGTAAAGTTGCTGAACACTGGTAGTTCGGTCCGAGGTTCGAATCCCGCGAACGGGCTGGCTGCATGGGCGTTTTCGTGGTTTTCCCCATGTGTAACGTGTATACGAGCCAGTTTTCCTTAGAAAGTTCTCCACGAAGGCATCCCTCCTCTTAGGCAGATAGCCCTCGAGGCTTTGCCATAATCAAACACACACACACACACACACACACACCTAGCGTGCCTTCGTGCTGTACTGGGCCGGTATATCAGAGGTCCGTGGTTCGATTCCCGGGGAAGGCGTTGCTAATTTTTCATCTCTGTGGTTTTTCCAATTTACCTAATGTCTCTACAACTTAAGCATTCTTTCTGTAATATATTTTAATTTTACATTACAGGTTATTGCATTTCGAATCTACTTTTGCCAAAAATTGTTTCCTGTATGCAATATTTTCAAATTTATGACGCCTGCAGCATTTGATAATTTTTATTTACTTTTCTCTTATGTAAATTTTTAAACTTTTAATTAACGAATTATTTACGTATTTGAAGCTTTCATTTCATATGAAATATAATAAGACATATATGTTTAGTGCATAACGCTAAAGGTTTACAATCTTTTTTAATATAATATGCGGTTTCATGTTTTTAACTAGGATCATCTTTATAATGGCTTTGACAAGCTCAAAGGGCTTAAACTCCCTTAACTGGATTAAAATAAGATTATATTGATGACCTTAACATTACAATGCTAAGCACTGATCGATAATAAAAGCTTATTAATTAGATGTTTAGTCTAAGAAAATGGCTTCAAGATCCATGGCCGCAGGAAATTGGCAAACATCTTGAATATTCTAGAAAAATGATGTAATATCTATATTGTACTGCAGTCACGGTACCTTAAAAGAAGATGAGTACTGTCGCCGATAACAGAATTATAACAACGCCGGCAAAGTACTTTCTAACACATTACTTGCCTACGCTTTTACATTTCAACTCCTATGTGGCGAAGATCTATAAAACGACATATATGGCCAAAATTTACGTTTTTCTTAATAAAATGTGCGTAATTATAACTGCTAAATTTTCATCACATTTTATTAATTTGAAATATTTGAGAGCTGTATGAATTGTATTTAATAAAAAAATCTATATTTTATAAATCATTTCTTTAATCATTTATTTAAACTTTGATTTTCTTTCATTCCAGTAGAACTCTAGTTTATCTGTATATACTTTTCAGTATATATGATAACCAGTGAAAGACCGATATATGTCTATATTTCCTATAGATCCAGTGAATAACCAATTGCCAAGAGTTATCCAAGAACCTTCTGTGTGGGAAGTATGGGAGGGCAAGGCCGCTCGTCTTCCATGTGTAGCCCATGGCCATCCACCTCCGCAATACTATTGGTTCAGAGATAATGGAGGACAGCTTACCTACATTGATAATCACCGGAAATCAAACATAGTGGACGGAACTCTAATTATCCATAAGGTGACAGCCGCTGACAGTGGAAAATATGTATGTTTCGCTAATAACAGTGTGGGAGAAGATAAAGTGGACAGACTTCTGAGAATACGAGGTAAGAAACAAAATGCTTTATTTGTGAAATATTTATTTCCATCTTTGTAATTAAATGTTAGAATTCTGATTTTTTGTTTCGAAGACTATTTTTGAGTATTTGTTTTATCTTTCCTTTTACTGGTGAAATCTAAAAACCTGGGATCTACTACTTTTCGGTGATTTGCAGTGCATATACAGACTATTACAGACATCGAGAACATATTCGCAAGTACTTACGTGTACTTGAGGATATTTATAAAAATAATTTCTTTATGAGGACTTCAGAAAACATGTTAACTAGAGCCGGGACGAGGGCGAGCCACTTGCCTCAGGTAAAAAAACAGAAGGGGCGCAAATTAGTTACGAAAATTCAGAAATTAATTAAAAAAAGAAATAAACATTTAAAAAAAATATTCTGAAAACTTCCAGGTTTTATATTATACCAAAAGGGGTGATTTTTTTCTCATTTATACACAAGTACACGTTTTGAGAACACTTGGTCTAACACCCCTTTGGACTAAAAATGCTTAAAAACAGCCTATCTTTAGAATTTCCGAAAGACAGTCTCGCGAGCTGAAGTTAAAAATTATTTTTTTCCGTACAGTACTGCTTGCAGTTCAGAATTTTACGTATAATCGAAAGACGTATAAAGTAGCACTTTTATAAGTTTAAAACGTTGAGAAAAAAAGATAAAGAGCTTTCATTTTTAATCTTCAAATGTAAAGATAAAGTTTTACGGATCCTGAAATTCCCAGAGAATATCAGTGATGATAGTGATGCATTTCATGTTAATGGGGAAGATTAAAGATCTATATAAATAATTGTTTAGGAGAAGTATAACTTTATTTATTAGTATAAAAAATCAAGAGTTCCACCATTCATAAATATTTTTCCACAAAAATTAAAAGTTGTACACAGACCTTGTTGTTTGATATGGTTTGAGGATGGTAAAGCATTGAAAGATAAAGTTTTAGGAATGCTAAAATTCACAGTGAATATCAGTGATGATACTGATGTTATTTTATGTTAAAAGGGAAAATTAAACATCTATATCAATTATTTATTAAGAAAAGTATAATATCTCTTAGTATAAAAATCAGAAGAGCTCCACCATTCATAATTTTTTTCCACAATAATTAAAAATTGTACTTTGTGGATAGAATTTGTCTACGCCTGAAACATTCTGGCTCGATGATAATTTAAAACAAAGCATTACTGATTATTTTATATGTATATCTTCTTGCATGATATTTATAAATGGAAACTTGTATAAAACATTTATGATTTTTATATTTTCAGTGCCTTTAAAAGTAGAAGTAGTGACAACAAAAAGAGTGGTACGATCAGGAGAAGAGGTCTCCCTTAACTGCAGCATGTCCACGGCGCCTAAATCAGTGGTCTGGGTTAAAGACCAAAGAAGAATTGTGCCTGACCACAGAATACGAAGGATAAGTGCAACACATTTAAAAATATTAGTCTTTCAAAGAGAAGATAGTGGAATATATCAGTGTTACGTCTACAATGATTGGGAATCTGCACAAGCACACGTACAATTGGACCTCAAAGGTAATTAATATATTCTGCATTTGAGAATATTAACAATATTTTAATTAAATATTCTGATGTAAAATTAAATAGTAGGTAACGTGTAGGGGGTCATTGCTTTTATCTTGTTAAATGTAATGTCGAGGAACCTGGTGAACAGCTAAGCGAATAATCGCTTAAGTCCAAGAACAGAAACGTAAACTGAAGAAGGGTTAGTTACCCTTTATTTGCTCTAAATAATAATTTTGAAAAAATTGCAGCTGGCCCCTTTCTCAGGGCGTACAACAAAGCCTCCACTTGGGCTTAAACTGTAAGAAATAAGAACTAACTAATGGCTAAATAAAGAGATTTAGCCTTAGCTAACACAATTTTAAACTAGTTTGCCCGTAATATTTAAATTAGCCAGCGAAGCTATCCAAAGGCACGTAATACGGTCGAGCGTAGTAAAGAGACGTAGACAAAAGGCAAACGCGTGCTATTCAGGAATCTTAACTCTGTTTGGTGAAATCAGTGGAAATTTGACTTAAATACTTTTTACTTCTCATTTGCATTTAACGCGATTCTAAACCCTCATTCTGGTAAGGAATTGTATGCTGAAGCTAGAAGAGATACGAAAGTAGTACAAATTTAAAATAACTGTTATAAATTAAAAATATACCTTGCAAAGTATTCTGAACAACGTTATGGAGCAAGTTAGATTGACATGTGTTCATAAAACTAACATTTCAGAGAGCGGTATCGTATTAAAGATAAGTGTATTCGAATACCAAAGCAATTTAGAAAGCAACAATTTAAATGTTTTAAACTAATCTTGCCTGTAACGTGCAGAAAACTGCTTTATCATATAAACTTAGATAACAAAAATGATAGTATATCTGAATTGGATAAATTTAATTTAATGACGTCGCTTCATTTAAAGAATATAAAGATGAAAGTTTTCAATGTGTGTTGCTAAACCAGAAAATAAAATAGCATAAATTTTTAAAAAAATAATAAATAGAAATTCGTAAGACGGAAAAACTTAAAACAGTCTTGATAAAGCAATAAACTGCATTTACTTTTAACAAGATCCATATTAAAATAATTGAAATAGCTCTCGATGAACACTATATTGTTATAGAATCTTACAAAACAATATCAACTGGCTGATAAAATACACGATAATAACAAACTGGTTTTAGCAAAATAACTTAAATAAGCAAACTAAATTATATTAAACTTTTCTGTAATTTACACTTATAAATTTGTAAATGATTTGCGTGCATTTAAATTTAAAACATGCTATTAATGAGTGATGAGTTATATCTTCTAGCACAGGTACAAAGAATCACAAGTGGTAATAAAAAGGAAATTTTTGTTTAACATTAAAGTGTATGCTCAGGTTGAGTATAAAAAGCAAAGTCGATAATTTCAGAAGCAGTGAGTTTAATCAATAAGGTTCAAACCCTGATAGGTAATAAGGTTGGGACTACATGATCCCTGAATGGGAAACGATAAGGTTTAAAAGGTTGATAATTTCAGAAACAATAAAAAAAATCAATAAGGTTTACTATTAAATACTTAAATAAAATTCATAAATCAATCGTTTTGAGCATGAAGTCAGTTGACCAGTCTTTACATACCACAGGAAGCTTTCGGAGCTTCACACAGTTTAGGTTAGGTTAGGTTATTTAATTACGGCAAAGCCTCGAGGGTTATCTGCCTAAGGGAAGGAATGCCTTCGTGGATGACTTTCTAATGGAGACTGGCTCGTATACACGTTACACATGGAGAAAACCACGAAAACACCCATGCAGCCAGCCCGTTCGCGGGATTCGAATCTCGGACCGAACTACCAGTGTTCAGCGACTTTACCGCTCAGCAGCTGGTGGGATCACACAGTTTAATCCGCCAGTTTTGTACTATCATTGGTTAACATTCTTTTGAGTTTCATTATGCGAAATGTTTGTATTCAACTAAAAGTAAATAGTAATAATTTAACTCGGTTGAAGCAAAATTTTCATAAGACACAGTTATATCTCCGACACAGTATAAGAACAACTGGATTGTTAGAAATCATTGTTCACTTAAGCTAACCATTCATCAAAATCTAGACAGCATTGTTCAAAATATGCACGTCTGCTGTATAAGGGCTGGTGTATAAGGGCAAACTTTCAACTACGTTGTAAATTACATTCAAGCATACCTTTTCTCAGAATAACATTTAAATACAAAATCATTTAGTTTTTCATGTTCATACAATTTTTCCAATCTTCCTTTTATTGACTAGTGTCATAACTTCTGCACATTTCTGCTGCTTTCCCGATTCTTCAGTAATAGCCAATTTGCTCCTTGATTAGTACTTTATTTTTTTAAGGAGTTTCAGTTAAAAATTATATGTTATTTATTGCTAATCTTTTTCAGTTACCGTACTTGCCGGCGTATAAGACGTACCTTTTTTCTCTGAAAATAAGTCTGAAAAACGAAGTGCGTCTTATACGTCGATAACTCAGTTTTTGATTATTTTTTTTTTTTTCTGGAAATTTCCTCTATTCGGAGGTATGCGATTTTGAATAGGTAGGGAGGTATGCGATTTTGATTGGGTGACATTAATAATGCACTGGATGGTACAGAGGACAGTTTGCTGTATGAGGACTCAGACGCTGATATAAAAGAGGTTTCAAGAGACTCTTCATTTAGCTCTGGAGATGAGTGTCTGGGCTTTGACGAAGAAGATTGAAAGTTGTTCTTTTCCAGATAGACTGGCTATTAGCAGAAAATATTACATTGTATTTTATGTTTAAAATACTGTAAGTTTATTATAATGATCAGTAATAAAGTTTTATCCTTCAAAAATGTGTATAAAAAGGGGATGCTTCTTATATGTCGGCAAATACGGTAATTGTTGCCCTTTTGAGCCAATTTATTTAGATTCATCTGCACAACTTGATCATTTTTGTCCTTCTGTTCTGAATGAAACTAAGATTGTAAATTAAATAGCATCAAATTCTGGTATTCTCATCACATTTATTTATCGTATACGCATGTTCATGTACATAATATTTATGTGTAAATGTATGCATGTATATTGATCTCAACTATTTCAAGCCATGGGATCAAGACTATTTCTTTACCTAATCATTGCAAATTTTCAAAAAGAATGATAATTTGTTATAGATAATAATGACCCAAAGCAAAATATATAGCTCAACGAAAAGTCGTATATTAAGTGAATCATAACTTCAAAAATATCCTTCTCCTAAACGCTATTCGGCTAACTCTGTTCTCCCCGAAGATTTCAGAAGCCCGTACTATACCATTCATGTGACCAAGCTATATCGTATAAATTATGGCTTTGAGAATGAAGGCGGGTTAATTGTTGATCAGTTCTGAAATTTTGCGCTTAAGACTGTCTTGCAGATTAGCGGTCTTTATTTGCGTTTTTATCTGAGAGGCATTCGACGGAGTTCTTCTCTTAACGTTTTTATTTCAGCAGAATTTCTTGCTGTATTGTTTTGTATAGAGCTTCGAAAATGTTTTTCCTCCAAATCTTCAACAGTTTAATCAAATTAGCAAATAGCGAGAATTCGCCCAGTGTTGCCAACGTAACAAGCAATAATTTAAATATTTATACAAATTTACATCATTATATATAGAAAGACAGAGAAAAAACTTGATCAATCAAATATATGTTTTAACGCAATTATAAATCCAGTGAATTTTTGCTTTTACGTATATGAATAACAACATATTTATTTAATTTAAATAGAGCTTTGCCTTGAATATTACTTAAATAGTCTTACTAAATATAATAAATGGTTATTATCCTCCGATGAACGTTTAAATAGTTGCGTTAACGCAAAAGGTAGTGGTTTTGCAAAACTTATGAACTGTAAAGCAATTCTTAGAGGTCAGTGTTCTTTAATGTTGCCTCACAAAATATCTAATACATTTTTCTAATATTTTCGTAAATGGATCTAATACAATATTTCTAAAGAAATATTGTATTAGATTCATTCCGATAAAAAAAAATTATAGTTTTCCAAGGGAGTTACTTCAGATACTGTAATTTCAGAAAACGAATCAAGGCTTTCCTAAGGGAAAAAAACTCATTCTTTCAGGGGAAAAAAGTAGTGACTAATCGATAAATCCCAAAATACTTGAATCACTGGATTGGGACAAAGCTTTACAAAGATAATAGTATGAAAGAAAAGTCGTTGCCGTTAAGATCGAAAAGTTAGTTGCAAGAATCGGAACAGATGATTGGAAATGTGATCAGAAATGAGAAAAAAAGTAGTTATTATACTCTTTGTTATATATGTCAGTATCATATAAAAATATTTACATTTTTTGTAGGAACATAGCTTTCAGTGTAAACAGCTTTTATAGATGTAGTAAAGGCAGTTAAATTCTAAATGTCTTTGTCTGCAATCAAGAAGTCTTCTAAAAACTCATTTCATCCCACAATCTTTTTTTTTCTTTAGCAGCTGGAACAAATCACAATTTAAAACCTCCAGATTGCAGTCTAACGCCTAAAAATACTTACTCTTAATGTTTAAAAAAAATTTGAAATATTACATATTTTACTTTCTTGTACGAAGTTTTGGAAATATTCTAATAATTGAAGCATCTGTCTTTGGAATCTTCACAACAGCATTGTTAATGTATTTGTAAATATTCCTTATTATACATTTTAATTTCCTTCCATTGGACACTATATTACTGAAACGAAAAGATTGATGCATGTTTTCTGCAGTCATACTTGTTCCTAGCAAGTGAACTTCGATGATTTGATCGTGATATGCTACCTAGGTAGTGGAAGCTGAATTTTATCAGTTTTAAGATCGCCTTTGAGAATGATGAATAAGCCAGAAGTTTTGGGGTCTTTGAAGGAAAGAAATCGTGTTAAATTTTGTAGAGACATTAGGTTATTTGGAAGCAAGAGTATTGAAAAATGAGCAACGCATTCGCCTGGAATCGAACCACGGACCTTGGAATACGCCCCTAGCGTGCAGACCACTTCACAACGAAGGCACGCTAAG